TACCAGAGATCGAAAGGCATCGATACCATGTTAGAAATAAAAGAGAAAGAGATGAAACATATATTGTATTGATGTGTATGAGATATGTAACACAGGAGTACATATAAGTTTATATAGGAGAGGTCATGTGTGGAGAGCAAGTCATTACTATATAAGATAATGCTATATATGGTAATGAGGGTATGTTAAGACAACTACCATATAAAGTAATGCTATATATGGTAATGATATATTATAATATATATTCTCACAATACATGATAACAATATATTATAGAATATATTCTAACACACCTAATGGTAATGCTAACTCAGCAATGTCACAAGGGTCCTTTCGTGTTGGTTAACGATTAGAATATACCCTACTTATGATTAGTGAAATGTTTTCAATTTTTACCATTTTTTTTATTTTCTGGAATTTTTTAATTTTTTGAGGGCATTTTCGTCTTTTCTCGTTTTGCGTGCTGGACACCGTGGGGTGTGCCGGGTGTGTTTGAGAGTTGGTTGGGGCATTCCATTGAGTTAAGGACTCTTGAAAATGTAAGGGTTGTCATTTTGGCATTTTTTCGTTTTTCGGGCCGAATAGTTTCGAGTGGGACTCGCTACCGGGACTGTTGAGTACGGGGACTATGTTTTGGGTCCACTACATTTCATGCATGATTATTTTGTGCATAATTGCATTGTTGAAAGTTAAAATTTTGTGGTGGTGGTTTAATTGGTATATATATGTGTGTATACATATATTTGTATAAGGTGGGATTTTTCTCTTGTGGGACCCACCATATCAACCCTTTTAATGGCCTTAAAGCCATTTTTGGTTCATGAAACTTCCATTCTTTCCTTCTCACGAAATTTCTCTTTCTCTCTCTACAATATAAGCTCTCTCTCTAAAAGTTGCATCTTCAAGGCTTGAACTCTCTTCCACCTTTGAGAATTTCATAGTGCCACTTGAGGCAAAGTTAGAGAGCTTGTCAAGCACTTCGTTTTGATCAGAGCAAATCACCATTTGGCCAACCTTGGAATTTTGAAAATTAGGGCTTGAATTGGGGCTTTTCTACAAAATTGAGGTAGGGGTGTTTTAATACATGATTTCTTATGCTTTTGTGAGTTGATTCTTTATAAATTGTTGAATTGCATGCTTAATTAGTTTAAGTTCTTGCAAATTGTTTAAATATTACATGTGAAAGGTGTGTCCATGTGATAGTTGATATATTGTGTATAAGCATGCCTATGTGTAATGGAATCTGTGTTTTGTATGCCTAATATGCTTAAATAATGTGAAGTGAAAGCATGAATTATGCATTTTAGAAATTTACTTTGAATAATATGTGTGAAAGTTTTATAATTGGATTGACGAATTGAGGTATGAAGCATTCATGCATCCATTGGGGAAAAGAGAAGGGAAAATGTTTTAAAACAAACAAAACTTATTTTTGGGAAAAAGTTTTCTAAAAGTGTTTGTGAAAACCGGACGCCTAGGAGGCACCTAGTGGTCCGTGGTGTTAGTGTAGTGTAGAAGGGAGTATGGTTGAGCTAACTAGGCCAGATGCGACGCCTTGGAGGTGCTTTGTGGTCGTGGATAGTTATCCAATTCTCCTATCGTGACACCTTGGAGGTACCTTGGGTCGGATTACACTAACAGTTTAGAAGTTGAAACGGAATTTTTCGGATATGAGGAGTGACATTTGCATGACATTGCATTTTATTAGAATATATAGTGTGTATGTGTTTGGATGACAATTGTTATATACTTGTCGTTGTAGTTGTTGCCATGTACTCCTTATTGAATAATCCCCGTTTCCTTTTACCTATTCCTTACGTGGATTCACGGGATTATAAGAAGTGTGTCTTAGATACTTCCTACTGAGCTTATTGTCACATTGTGATTCCTCTCTAGGCCAGTGACATTATGCTCATCCCATTAATTTTAACATTTTTCAGGTTTGGGGAAAGGAGTAGCGGACGACAATCCACCACCAGTTTAGTAAAGTTGACGGACTTGGACTCTTTTGTGTTTGATGTGTATTTTACCCTGTTTTGTTATATATAGTATTATGGATCATTTTGTATCTTCTACATGATTGGAAATGGTCTTGAGACCATTCAGTTGTATTTTGTGATCTCATTATGCTTTCAATATCCATGTAAGGCCTTAAGGCCATATTTTTTGATGTATGACGGATTTGCTTAATTTTAATGATATATCGGACTCGTATATGGTCTTATTCGATTTTGGTACCACTTAGTAGTGTTAGTTTCATCATTATATGGAAGATTTGGGACATGTTTGGGCTTTGAGTAAGGTCACCAAGGGACTAAAGTAGTGCCAAAGTGCACATGATCACAATTTTAGGCTGTTTGGGGTATTTTTGAGGTTCTGGGCATCTTGAACCGGTTCAACCCCATTGAATCGGTTCAAGGGGGGATCTTTGGTTCGAGAATGGGCACACTGCCCATCTTGAACCGATTCAAGTCCCCCAGTTCACTATTTTGCCTTCTTCAGTTGTTAGCTTGGAACGCTTGACTTTGGATGGTCATAACTTCTTTGTTCTGAATCCAAATAGGGTCATTCTTAAGTGTATTTTCAAGGATTTTGAGATAGCTTTCCAATGAGACCAACCTCACCCTCAAATTCTATTCATATCGAGAGTTATGGTCGTTTTAGTGGAACACTATCAGAATTTCATTTGAACCGGGTAAGGGTACTTTTGGGAAATCATAGCCGATGACCGTAGAACCTCACCGAGTGTTATGGAATGATTAAGAATGGTTGTTTTGAACCTCATTTGATTAGTTTAAGAATGGATTACCCTCTCACATTATAAAATGACCATTTTACCCCTAGTGTGTCCTCGGGTTTGGTTAAGGACCCGGTTAGCGATCCGGACCCCCGGTTTTGGTCGTTACAATAAGACAATAGCTGTCATTCCTTTTAGGGTTGCATCAGTATATCCAAGGCACTAAATATAAAGAATAGTATGCAGCAACAATAACTAAGGTTTTTTAGCTGAGAAATTACAGAGATTATATTCTTGAGTTAGAAACCCTTGTTGTAGGTTCCTCTGTGAGTTTAAATCAACTTGAGAGTATTCATTTTTCGATCATCTTCCTCAAGTTTTATAATGGAGTGAAGCTCTGCATTTTTAGTCCTTCTTGTTAGCAGTAGTAGTGTTTGCAGCAGAAATAGTAGCTCAACAAGCTCAAATCATCCTTCCTTCATCATTTGAGCTGTAAGATGGTCTAGACTCATCTCTTGTACCATTTCAAGACTGCAGTGAAACCACTTTAGTCATTATCTCACATGCAGCTGAGCTTTAGCATTCTAGATATCAAGCAGCAGTATTGTTTGCTGAGAGCTTCAAACACAGATCATTGAAGCCTTCCTTGTAGTTTTGTAACTGAAAATCATCTGAGCAAGTCTTATATGAATTCTTGAGGCCATTTCAGCAACACAAGGACATGGACTGAACCTGCATTCAAATATGACCTCTCTACCTCAGTCATCTCAATATATCTGCTCTGTAAGTGCTGAGACTACCTCTCTTGAGCTCATTACTGTTCGTAACTCTAATCTTGTATAGCTTGAGAGAACTTTATCATGCTTATCTTTATTGCTTTGAGAGTTTTTTGAGTTGTGAGTCCTAGCAGTGGGTGTCCACGGGAATGCTGAGTGCACTTGTATGTGAGTTGGTGAGTGTTGTTGAGAGTGAGACAGGGAGTGTGTAATCTCAAAAGCATTGATAGTGGAAGTTCGGGTGAGCTCCCACAGCTCCAAGGTTTCTTAACCCCACATAGAAAAGAACCTGTGTCAATTACATTCTTGCAGCTGCGGCATTTCATCAAACATGTTCTGGGAATTGGGGTTTCAAGGTTGAATTCATTTTTAAGCTGATCTCTTTCAAGTCTCAGTTTAAATTCAAGGCACAGTGATTGTTTTAAGCAACATTATCAAGTGAGAAAAGAATTCAAGAACCAATTCACCCCTCCCCCTCTTGGTTCATAATTAATTATGCAAATGGATTAATGGAATTTTTTCCCCAAAGTGAGATGATGTATATTAATGTTAATAAATGAAGTACATGATCAAACAGAAGGGGCATATCATCATCAAAAAAAGAAAACCTCCATTTCGAAGAGCAAAGAAATTGAAGAAATACAAAATAAAACATAATGCGAAACAAAAGGCAAATCAGTCAAAGAGCATCTCATTAGATCCAAAACCTCCGACCAACACAGCTTTGGAACCTCCTCTGCTTGCTTGATCCCTCAGTCATGTAATCTTGAATTCCTCTCCATGTATATTTTCCATAGAACAATGGTAACAAGTCTTCTATAAAGCCTACGTGTAATGTACTAAGACTTCATGTTTGCAACAACCCAAATAACCAATTGGTGTAGTGACTGAAATGTAAGCATATTCCCGATTGATGTCAATTTATTTATTCATTTATGTGTGGAGGAGTTATTTCATAAATTAACATGTTGGTTTTACCATTCTTGAGTTGGGCTTCAATTATTCTTATAAAGTGATATTAAGTATAATTAATGGGATGATTTGAATTGATCCATGAGATGGCCGGGTCAATTAGTCAAGCCCCATTGTAGTCAATAAGGCTTTGGGGCCACACAGCCCATATAAGATCCTCATCTCTAAGCCCAATTTTGAAAATTAAGCAAGGGAAGAATGAAATTAATATGATGATGTAGAGAGCCTGAATTAGCCTTCTCTGTATAACTGTATTTCTCTATGCAAATATATGACCAGGGGCATTTTTGGAAGGACAATAGGAATTTCGCATCTATTGTGATTTGCATAGTCAAATTGTAACCGCTAAATTTCAGGAAAAAGAAATTGTAACCGCTAGCTAACAATAGACTTCTTTAATATCAAATTTACTCTTACAAATATAATATCAAATTTACCAGAAAATTAAAGGAAAATATAAAATATTGGTGTATTATTGTACAGTATATGAATAAAATAGGCGCATTTAGAGAGGACAGGTTGAACAGCCTTGGCTTTGAGTTTGAGCTGCCTACTGGGTTTTGAGATGGACTTGTCATCAAACTAGAAAGCTCCTCCCAGGTTCCCCCACAAGTCCATTTCTCTCCCCATGCGGCAAAGTTGTTGCACAAATCAATAGTTATTTTAGCATCAAACAGCTTGACAACCATACCCAAACCTCCTCCTCCTCCCTGTTTCTTCAAGCAATTTCACATCTCTCTCTATATACATTATACATATACATATATATATATATATATACACACACACATACATACATACCTTGAAATGTGCTAAAATTCATACCAACAACCACTTTCCCCAGTGACATCCCAACTATCTCCTTCCAATTAAGTATAATTCTCGTGTCTCTTCTCCAATTGGGGCACACCCTTGGAAACTCTTCTGGGTTTTCTTTAGGTTCTCTGGTACTGTTTCTCTGTGACATTAGATTTGATTTGTGGAAAGGATATATAGAGAGAGAGAAAAAAAATGAGGATTTGGAGTTGGGTTTTTGTTGTGCTTCTTTTTTCTGGTCCTGCATTGAGGATTGGTGCTGTGGAGCTCTCTCGTGGTCATCAAACTGAAAGAATTTCAGGTTTGATACCTTTAAATGTTAATTTTTATTTTCTCTACTTTCTTAATTTGGTTCAATTTGATTTTGTTTTCTTTTGCGCTGACTATTTTTAATTTCATTTGGGACTTGTTAACTTTTAAGCGATTATGGATTTGGGATTGTTGCCTTAATTTTTAATATATATATTTTTTCTGCTCGTGGGTATTGATTGGGTACCTTATGTATTTACTTTTTTCCTTTTTCCATTTTTTTTTTTTGGGTCTTGTTTTGTGTTATTTGTAACCTGTGATATATGTGTGATGATTGCATGTTGAGGTTTCGTTTGGAAGGGCCTTTTAAGGGTTTGTTTGGTTCTGAATATGGTGAGGCATAGGTGATTATTGGGAAATCTGTGGTGAAAATGGGAGTTGAATTGGACAATTCCACTGGCAAGTGTTGATCTATTAAAGTCCTAATATCGGAATCAAAGTCCCTTCTAGAATCTGATTAGAAATCTGTCTGGTCTAAATTGAGGAACAATTTGATCCATACAAACTTGTAATGTCGGTGCATAAGCATGATCTGGATGATTTGTTGAAGTTTTACTTTGGGGAAGTTGGAATTTATAATAAGATAAGTGATTTAATTGCCTATCTTCCTGGAGGCGATAGAAGAGTGAGACATTTTTTTTCCCTCCGGAAATTGGAAGAGTGGGACATTGATATTTATAATTAATTCTTTTTTGTTCATTCGAAATTCCATCTAGTACATTATACATAATGAGTTAACCAATCCATTGTAGTTGCAATGAAGGTGTTGAAAAGTGGATTGGGAAATACTAGACATCTTGGTTAGCTGCTAGAGGGTTTCAGTTGGGTTGGTTTAATGTTAAATCTGAACTTAATCCAGGGCCCTGAGTATTAGTCTCATGTATTACCTTGCCTGGGCCTTAATTCAAAACTTTGAGACCCATCTTTTCCAAATCTAGCTTCAGTCTTGTACTAGCATAGGTTATGATATATGTTTGGTTAATTTTGCATGATTATTTCAGTTGTTCCCAATATATTATTTGATACATGATAATATGTAGATCTGTATTATGAATTTATATTGGACATGGTTAAATGTGAGGTATAACAAACAAAGTGGTGGCTGGGAGGAGGTGCTTTGGCTTGAGGAAGGGTAAAACAACAAAAGAGAGGTTCAAAGGATATGGCACATTTAGAAGGCTGGGGCTCTATGCCATTATGAAGAATCCAAAATTCAGGAGCTTTATTTAAGAGCGAAAAATTTAATCTTTTCCCAACAAGGATTAATGAGCTTTATATACGATAGTTCTGGGTTTGTGGCAATAAATTATCGGCTCAAATCCAATCAGAATACTTGCAGAGCACAGACTGTAGAGTCTGGATCACTAGTTTTTGCTGAGTTGGATTTTAATGACGATCATAGTGTTGATGTTCATGTTCAAGTGATAATTAGCACAGGATAGGAATAATGGACAACCATTGTTTCCCCTAGGTTGAACTGTGAGCTTCTTGTTCTAATCTATTGTGAGCATAGTTCTCCACTTCTCCGTATTGACCGAGTCGCAGTCAAAACGGATTCAGCCAAGTTCGAGTCCGATACTCACCAATATATTGGTGAGAATTGGAATCCCACGTGACTTGGCTGAGTCCTTGGAATCAGCCGAGTCTCATCTGAGTTCCTAAGGAATTGGCTGATCAGTACATATGGTGATGTGCATGGTCGAGAAAATTTCATGTCTGCAATAATGAATTCCTTTACATTATGCCCGATTCGGTACCAATACCGTTACACCGCATCCAAGTTGGTGGCCGCCTCTGCGTTTTGGAACCATGATGGTAGCTGTTGAAAAGCTAACCTATTCAAGCTAGCTTTTTTATAATACCTCCCCTTACTTACCAAAAAGAAGGAAAAAGAAAAAAAGAAAACCTATTAAAGCTAGCTCATTTACTCCACATTTTATTTTCCTCGAATTAATGAAACATTGGACCTCTACCTCATTTCATTTGGGAATCCTTTAATTATTCTGATCCTGATGTTGATTGACCTTGGTAACACCCCTAGTTACAACAGTAAGATATTACATGCATTCCTATTGATATCACATGACTTGGATTTAATAATTGAAATGGTGAAATGAACCATGTAAATGGCCTCATATCGGAACACAGGTGGTTTTCCCCTCTAAAATTTGATTTTGTTTATTTATATATATATTTTCAGCTCAATTCAGAGACAGGTAGTCATGGCTTGAACTATTGACATCTTGTTGTATTCATTAGTCATTATGGTGAAAAAATTTGCAGCCTTGTGGTTATTAAAAACTCATACCAATTTTGATTTGTTTTCGAAGTATAGTTACTTTAGTTGCTGTCACATAATCATATTCTTACATTCTCTTTTTCCACTTCACAGTTTCTTGTCAAAAGATTTTACTCAAAGATTATAGTTAGTGTGGATTATAATAAAGGATTATGTTTACGCTAAAACTGAATAATGATTATTCATCCTAATATCATTTGCCAGTCTTCCACCAACTTATGCCTCTATTGGGTCGTAGATCTGGTGGTCGTCAACAGTCTGAGATGTTAGTTATCCAATGTGTCACCTATTCTATGTGAAACATCTTTTCTGGTGGGCTGTGAAATTAGCCTAATGTCAGCATGGGCTTGAGACATGGGCTTGGTTCAAGTGTAAGGGGAGATTGAGTCATACACCTTCACCTTAGGTTTTGGTTGACTAAAAGATTGCCAGCCTTGCCCCCTAATATAGACATGGTTGAGGACAATTATGATGAAGTGCGGGACAACAAGTAATAGAACAACTTGAGGACTGAAAATTGAATTTCTTACTGTGTTCTTGTTTGTGAACTAGATGGTACATTAAAGTAACACTAAGAGTCAGAATCAGGCATTAGAAAAGATTGATCATTTAAACCTGAAAATGTCCGGTTATTGACTTATTTTTATTATTAGAGAGGTAGCTTCAACTTAAAGATGGAAAGATCATCATGATGTTGTCTAAGGTTATTCATGGACATGATGAACTTGGAAGAAGATATGACGAGATGGCGGAGATTAGAAAAATTATGTTTTTGTTGTGGCCAAATAGTTGGGATAGATCTTTGTTGAGTTTATTAAATAGCATTTTCACTGTTCATTAGCGGGCGTTTTCATGGTTGCTATAATTTTTATTTTTAGGAAATTCGACATGCGTGGGTACATCATTTAGTATTTAATGAATTTGTTTCTAAAATAGAGTTTATAGTTCCCTACAATGAAGCCATTACCAATTTAGCACGGTGGTTAATTGTTGGCATGACATCTAAAGGTAAGGTTGGGGTGGGGTTTGACTCCTATTGTAGGTAAAGGAAAAAAAAAAAAAATTTGAAATGTGTTGCAGAACTCATTTTATTTTTTCCCTTGATATAGAATCTTTCATGTGACATTACACATATTTTAAGATGAAGACAGTGTTCCAACGCGCTCTGCTATTTTTAAAAATGTCACTTTTATTTTTTATTTTTTTTGGTTATTTTCTTCTGGACTAAAAAATGTTCTCAAGGCTTTACTCTCACGACCGGATCAGAACAAATTACTCGCTAAGTTACTAAATCTTTTTCAATACGGGCTTTCCTCTAGAATGTCGCTTTGAGAAATTTTACAGATATTTGATAATATTTGGACCTGCTTGACGATTCCCCCCTCACCACTTTATTGGTGTGTTCCGATTATTCCTTTTTATTATTATTATTTTTAAATATAATTACAAATTGTCAACCTTCTACTTACTGCCATATTCAATGTTTGAGGTTTTGAATTGTGCTTGAGTTTAATCAATTTAGGTAGCGCTGGTGATGTCTTGGAAGACGATCCAGTGGGAAGGTTGAGAGTTTTTGTCTATGAGCTTCCAAGCAAATACAACAAGAAGCTTCTGCAGAAGGATCCCAGATGCTTCACCCACATGTTTGCTGCGGAGATCTATATGCATCGGTTCCTCTTAAATAGCCCCGTTCGAACCCTCAATCCTGAGGAAGCTGATTGGTTCTATACCCCTGTATACACTACTTGTGACCTGACACCAAAGGGCCTTCCTTTACCCTTCAAATCGCCCCGAATGATGAGAAGTGCAATACAGCTTATATCTTCTAACTGGCCTTATTGGAATAGAACAGAAGGGGCAGACCACTTTTTTATCGTGCCACATGATTTTGGGCCATGCTTTCACTATCAAGTAAGAAATAAAATTCTCTTACATTTGTTTCCCATACGTTCTCTGGACACTTACTTTTTGTGGCTTGACATAAGCCTGTCTGGTTCCACTCTTTCAGAATGTATCTGAATATGGATCTGTGTCAGTGTCAGTGAATTTTCTTCCTAATATTTTTAATTATATTCAATTGTTCCTTCCTATCCAATATTGCAGGAAGAAAAAGCTATTGAAAGAGGGATTCTTCCATTACTTCAGCGTGCTACCTTGGTTCAGACTTTTGGACAACGGAATCATGTTTGCTTAAAGGAGGGCTCAATCACGATTCCTCCATATGCTCCTCCACAGAAAATGCAAGCCCATTTGATTCCTCCAAACATTCCTCGTTCCATCTTTGTTTACTTCCGCGGTTTGTTTTACGATGTGGGAAACGACCCTGAAGGAGGTTATTATGCAAGGTATATCTCATTCAGCCTACATCTTAACAAGGATTTTTGAGTTCATAACTGTACAAGTGGAATGAGAACTTTGTTTTCTTCTTTTCTTCTTTTCTTCATCAGCCCTAACAAAATAAAATTATAAACAGAAATCGCCATATTATAAAAATTAGTCATTTAACTGTTGCTGATAAGAAATGCTAGGTTTTTCTCGATAACAAGTAATAAGGAAATGAAACACATAAAAATCTCTTCATATGTCTTGTATAGTAAGCAAGATTTAATTTATATGATTTGCTTAGTGGCCCTTCATGTTACAAAATAAGTTGAGAGAGATTTAAATCTAGTATAGTCTTTCATATGCCTTGTATGGTAGGCAAAATTTAATTTATATGTTTTGTTTAGTGACCATTCACTTGACAAAATAAGCTTAAGAGACCAACACGCCAGTGGCCTAGCGGTACCGGGCTCCTACCTCCCTGAGCTTAAGAGATATTTAAGTCTAACATTGTCTTAAAATTTAACAGAGGAGCAAGAGCTTCAGTGTGGGAGAACTTCAAGGACAATCCACTTTTTGACATCTCCACAGATCACCCGGCAACTTACTATGAAGACATGCAACGAGCTGTTTTTTGTTTGTGTCCGCTTGGATGGGCCCCATGGAGTCCAAGATTGGTTGAGGCAGTGATATTTGGGTGCATCCCTGTTATCATTGCAGATGACATTGTTTTACCGTTTGCTGATGCGATCCCATGGGAAGAAATCGGTGTATTTGTAGCAGAGAGAGATGTTCCGAATTTAGACACCATTCTCACATCAATTCCACCAGAAGTAATATTAAGGAAGCAGAGATTGCTCGCAAACCCTTCCATGAAGCAGGCAATGTTATTCCCACAACCTGCTCAATCCGGGGATGCCTTCCATCAAATTTTGAATGGACTTGCACGTAAGTTGCCACACGACACAAGTGTTTTCTTGAAGCCGGGTGAGAAGATCTTAAACTGGACAGCAGGCCCAGTAGCTGACCTGAAACCTTGGTAGCTGCTACATTTCTCCCCATAATCTCACCTACAAATCCTCGTTGCTCTAATCAAGGTGCCCAATTTTCCATCTGTAAGTGTTAATTTTCATTTTGCCAAAATATTGTATTAGACTATAGGTTTTAGTTTGAATCAGTATTGGAGTTTGATGTCAAAGTTCTTGATGATGGTTTTTGTGGCACCTGGCTGTAAAGATGTGATGCAATTTTTGAAACAGAATCACCGGTCTTTTACCAATTTATTTGGTTTTACTGCACGTAGAGTATCATGATCCTGTGCCTAATAAAATCTATACTTTTGGCCATTACTAGTTCAAGGCTGTTGTGGGTTCTGATAAATTGATTGTGATTGATTATTCTTAATTTGTTATGCTGCAAAATGAGTTCGATCATGCTCGGTTTTTATCCCTTTGATTAACTTGACTGCCAATCTGAACAGTACACTTGATCATTACGAAGGTTATCAAACTGCAAGTTTTGTTGGGGTAAATGTATTTTGGACAGTGAATTGGATTCTATGGCTAAGGTTGTTACATTGTGACATGAGGTCGAGTTCGAATCAAGGAAATAGTTTCTCCAAATGCAGAGGTAAGACTACGTATATCTAATCCTTTTCAGATCTCACGCGATGGCGAGAGCCTGTGCACACTTTATTGCCTAACAAATATGATGCAAGTAACAAATATTTAATTAAATAATCATGAGATCCGCGTGAATATGTGTTGAGACTTGAGCAGCAAAATGACGACAGCTAACCTAATTCCCATTCTGATTACCGTGTGAAGGACTAGTAGATTACTGTTTTAATAAAAACTATTTGGCCAGGCAGCTATAATTTACAAAAACTCAAGACAGCAAAATTATATAGTATTTGACCAACTTTTGTTGTATTATTTTGGTGATGTATAAAGAATATTTAATAATTTATTTCCTTTCTTTCTCTTGCTTTTGTCCAGTTCACTTTTCCATAAAGAGCTCACTAAACAAAGACTAATCAGAAGAAAAATCATATGTACTTCACGCACAAAAACACACACACATGCAGGACGGAGCCAGAATCTTGAGGTTGAAAGAGCTAAAATTATAAGCAATATTACTTAGTTAGAACTTTTGATAATATATATATATATATATATATATATATTACGTAGATAAAAATATTTTATTATTTATTCTATTCATACAAAAATATCTATCTAAATTTTTTACCAATTTATTTAAATAAAAAAACTAGTTATTTAAATAAACTTTTTATCAAACTTTCTGAACAAACACAAATAAGATTTATGTCAAGATTATAAAAAAAATTCAATTAAACAATTAGATTTTAATTTAAAAAAGAAGAAGAAATTCATGTAATACTTACACAAATTAATAATCATTACATAATATATCAATAAAAAACAAACAACAATAAATCATTTTTGACTAACTTAAATAAAAGAATATTGACAAGTAAAAAGAAAAAAAAAATGATAAAATAAACATTGTTACTTTTTTAGAAACTCATTTGAGATGCAAAACAAAAATATACTATTGAAAAATGCATATATTGGATTTGAAAAGAATGCTATGTATTCTTATAAACTAAAAATCAATACAATAATATACCAAGTAAAATTTTGAGAAATTCAACTTTTTTTAGAGATTAAGAAAATCATAACTAATCCAAATTTAAGAAACCTAAAAAAAAAAAAAAAAACAGACACACACCCACACAAAAATACATATACACATACCAAATTTATATAGAGAGGAACAAAAAAAACTTTGACATTAACATGGATTGCAGTGTGCATAAAAATCATCTACATCGATGAGAAAGAAGTGATTCCTTAGGTCAAATCAATACATGTATGCAATGAAATAAGGGATACTTCGGAAGTTACATTGAAACAAGGGATTGTAAGGATATAATCTTTCTTTGTGTGTGAAACTTGTCTCTCTGCACTCTCTTTCTCTCAAGAAAAAGGAGCAAACAAATTCAAGTGGGGAACAAGACAAAAACAAAAAAGGTCAAAAGTGTAGATAAAAAGCATTAAATAGCAATGTGAAAATAGGTAATTTAAGACCAAAATATAAAATGCCTTTCAAAACAAAAACTCTCCAAAAATAAATTAACAAAAATAACTCTCGTTATCTACATAAAAGATAAAAAACAAAAATAATTTTTTTTTTTTAAAAAGTAACAATTGAAAATTTAACAAAACAATAGCAATGATAAAAAAAACACAAACAAATTAATAAAATAAGAATTTAGATTCTTCAATCATTGATTTTTGTTGATATTCAAAACTTCAAATGAAATTTTTGTTCTAGATTTTGTAAAAATTAATTTCTTATAGAATTCTTATAAAAATATTCAATTAAAAATAACTAAAAAGAAAAAAAAAGTGATGGAAAGAATCATGTATGAGATGGAATTTTAGGATAATAAGGTTATGAAAGAATCGTGCTTTAAGATCGTCACGTTATAGAAAGAACGGTGTTTGAGTTGAATTTTAAGATTGTTAGTTAGTTATTATCGGGTTCTTTGTCGTCAATTAAATCACTTTCTTGTAGATTATATATAAACTATCTTTTGTTAAATGCTAATTAAAGATAGAATTTTTTTTTTTTTTTTTTTTCTTAGGGGGCGCCAAGTATAGATTTTATACCATACATGCTATACTATTTTTTATTTTTACCTATACTAAAACAAAATTCCAAAAAATTAGGGGGGGCCATGGCCACCCCAACCCCCTTCCCTCCGCCCCTGCACACATGGAGGAAATTCAACATTTCGGCCACGAACATGGCTTAACCCTTTGTAATAATTTTTTTCTTCTTCTAATAAATGCTGTGGTTGCAATCGAGCCATCTCTGGTTCAGCCTTCCATTGCCCAAAGAGCTGCCGCAGGTATATCATCGACAAATTGTGTACTGAACTGCCACACGCCATAACACACCTTTTTCACCCACAACACACTCTCATACTCCACAATAAACTTGATTTTGGTGGTATCCAGTGCAATGCCTGTGGTTGCTATAACAATGGCTTGTTCTTGTGTTGTTCTTTTCCTGATTGTCAATTTTAACTTGACGCGGTTTATGCTTCGCTAACACCCACAAAAAACCATGAAAGTCATGAACACAAGATCAAAAGTATCAGTTCGATTGAAGTCGAAGCCCTTTTTATTTATTTAAATAGTATAGATCTTGAGCTTCAGATTCAAATACATCACTTAATTTTTTTTTCATGTAAAAAAGAATTTTGATCGTGCCTGTTCTGCTTGCAAGCTACCTTTTGAAGATTCGATCTACGTGTGCCTTGAATGTAAGCTTTCGCTGTACAAATCATGCTCTTAATTGCCAATAGAGATCAAACACCCCTTCCACCCACAACACACCCTCACCCTCCTTTCAAGAGCATATGATGATGGCAATTACGAGTGTATTTCAAGTGCAGAAGGTGATGACAACAAGTGCCATGCTTGTGGCCACCGTCAAATGCGATTCTTCTTTAGTTGTTGACGCAAGCGAAAACGATAAATTTGTTCACAAGCAACGGGCTACTTTGAATCCACAAAGTATGGTGTTTTGAATCCACAAAACATGATATAAATTCAGAGAAAATCTAACAATTGTATTGATAATTGAATGAATAAAATTAATTAATTATGCAATTTGCAGTACACATATTTATTAGTAAAGAAATTGTAATGACCCAAATCTGGGGGATCCGAATTGCTAGCCGGGTCCTACCTGACCCGGGGACACCAAGGAAAAATGTTCATTATGCACCTTACTAAGTGCTAAGAGCCATAATGAGGTCATACTAGTAATTTATGATCATATTAGATCATTAAAGAACGGTAACTCTGATTTCGGGTTTGTGCTGGAACCCTAGGCTCACAAGGGGTAAAATAGTTATTTCAAGTTAAAATTATAGGGTGACCATTAGAAGGATGACTCAAAAACGTGCAATTTAGCCTCAAGAACGACCCTATTTGGGTTTAAAATGAACAAGTTATGAAGGATTGCAATTTGGAGCCCAAAAACTTCAATCTGATGCACTTGAATTGGTCTTAGAAAATTATGGAACAGGTTCATCTTGGGCAGCCCCTTTTTCCTTGAACCTAATCCTAAAGATGAACTTGTTCCATAAAATAATGGAACTAATTCATCTTTGGCAGCCCCTTTATTTGAACCTAAGCCCAAAGATGAACTTATTCATAAAATCATAGAACTAGTTCATCTTTGGCAGCCCTTTTCTTTGAACCTATTTCCAAAATTATGGGTATGATAAATATGTGTCATTTTGTCAAATACATCAAATTAAAACATAGAAATACATCATTGAGTCACCTTTCGTTTCAAATCTTTGAAAAATAATAGTTATTACATTAATCACTTACATGCCCCAAATGTTTCAAAAGTAGTCCAAAAGAATATAGTTACTAGTTTGAGACCTTTAGAGTCTTAAATACGATGTTTTACACAAAAAAATAACCGAACTAAAGTCATTATACAAAAATGGTCATTGTCATTAACATTGTTTACAAAAGATGATTTCGTCGAATACAACTACACTTGTGGGAGAACGTCATCAACCATGTCCTTATTGTGACCTGAAAAATGTTAAAGGAAAGGGTGAGTATGGAGGCTCAGTAGAAGATGCCAAAGGCGCCCACTTTAGACTCCCTTGAGCCACATAACACACAATAGGGCTAAAAGAGAACCGGGATCATTCTTTGGGGAATTCATAACATTTAAAACTCAATCAATCCCATTAATAGCATTTTTACAACTTATCATAATTTTGCATGAAAATGTAATGCAATGCATAACCGTTCCTAAACTTAGACTCTACCGACCTTAATTCATAGCAAAAACCACTAACTAGCTTTACTGAGGTGAGATTGATTAGTTATCCCTGGCCTCTAAACTGACGACCATTTGGGGCCTAGTAATCAATGTTACGTGTTCTATAACTGGCATGCGCTACCTTTAGGTCAAAGTTAGCACCGGACTAACGAAATCCGGTTCTTTTTATAAAAATCCATTTCATGACCTTTCTCATTTTCCCTTCCCACCATGTCATGCATATGCTTCAATCTTATCAATTTAACTTCAATTTCATTATATAGCAACAATGGCATAATCATGGCATCTTCTAGAAAATGAACATAAACATGTCATTTTCTATAATGTAATTACAAGCATACTCATTATACAATTCGCCTCATCACAATTATGCTATCATTTTGATATAACTGAGCAATATTTTAACTAAGTAATAACAAGCATTTCATTAGCATAAGAAAGAACTCATCTA